TTCGGCGAATTTTCAACAATTTTCGGAATTAAACTAAACACATTTTCTTATAGATTTCGACCTGCGCAAGTTTGTTTCATACTCATTTTTTCGATAGCTCCTATCGCTTTTCCAGAATCGGCCACTGAAATACTGTACCGGAAGCATGAACATGCTATATTTATTTAGTAGCATTAGTACATCACCAAACGGTAATAGAAGCTTTAAACTTGTTTTGCGATAAATAATAAAACTTGTAAACCACACGCGTGCGTGTTTTGCGTTGCAAACATCAAGGGCGGCAGTTTACGTTGGCGATTATTGTTTTGAAAATCTTCTTTAAATTTTACAGCCTCCCTTACAAGTGCGGGAAAATTAAATACCGTCTATAAATCACCAAATAATTAAAGACGTGAAGAAGTACCTAAAGCTGGCTTATGGTATTTAAATTTGTATTGAAAAAACTGAAGTGATAAGATAATACTTATGCAGTTAACAGTACTACAGAACAATTTCGTTTCGATGGTGATTTCTGGAAGGTTCTAAAGTTGTTAAACTCTGTTATCATTTTATTTTTTACTACTAGAGATTTTATTATTTGTTATTATTAAAAAAAAAAATAAAAATAAAATTGTACTAAGCTTATTTCAAGATACATAAAATAAATTTTTCGCCAAAACATGTTATAAGTATTTTTAGCTTATTGCTAAAAAAAATAAGCGTGCGGCAAAAATGTAAAGATGACAGGTAAATAATAAAAGACCTAAAGTTGGCATATAGAAATTGTTGTGTGGTAGTTTTGCTGATTTTATGGGATCGCAAATCGTTGTCATGTTAATGATACATTAACAAGAGACTTAAATTTATAATTCACAACAAGCTATTTCAAACAAGACACAATGATATTTAAACAACAAAACATTATTTATTAACTCAGCTTTAAATATGTCTCATTTATATTCTGCTGTAGAAGACTATAATTAAAACCAGTAGCTACAATATTTAAGGACTTACCTCATCTTTTGAAACATTCAGAAATTTAGTTCGAAATTTAGATGAAAAAGTTTTTTTCCTCTGTCTTACAGTAATAACGATGTTATATGTTACGCTAAAACTATATGGGACAAATTTTTCCTTTCTGCTTTTAGTAATATCATTTCTGACGCTTTTATATTTGTTAACACTGACACAGCGACGTATCAGAAACCACTGATTTTCTGTGTCCCTCTATCAAAATATTTTTATCTAGACAACCCTCTTTTTGTGATAAGAACCCAGCAATTATCTTCTTATTAATTAACTTAACTGGTTATTACTTTTCATTTCAATTCTCTATAATTATCTAGACGTGAGAAAAGCCATTTGTGAAGCAAATAGTCGTTAATAATAAAAATAACTGAAGTAATTAACGTACGAAAAATGTAGGTAAAATTCTTTGAGACCATCAATAAAGAATGAACTCCCTCAATAAATTTAAAATATAAATTTGGGGCATTTAGTATGTCGGAGATTAGTAAAGGTGCACGGTTCGCTCAGTTCAAAGTTTTCAAGAGATCACTAAAGTATAAAATGAACCGATTTGACTGGAAAGCGGCAACAAGAATAAACACTTTAATGTTGAAATCTGTGGGACTGTGGCCAGAAGGTGACGGAACATACGCCTTCAACATATATACGATATACGCTATTATTTCCATTAACCTGTTTGTCACAGCACACACGCTTTTCCAGGGAATAAACATAGTTTTTGTATATTCGAATCTGGAAGCTCTAGCAGAAACCATATTTGTCACACTATCCGAGATCTTAGTAATCATCAAAATCTACTGTTACGTGCAAAATTTAAAACTACTGAAAAAACTGAAAGTCGATTTAGACTGCGATCTCTTTCAACCGAAAAATCAAGATCAAGTATTACTAGCCGACACAAGTCTGAAAATGTGGAGAATGACGTATTTCGGATTTTGGTTTCCAAGCGCCGCAACGTTGACTCTGTGGTCCATTTTTCCCATACTGGACCGAACGGTGAAGAAACACAGGCTACCATTTTCTGCTTGGTATCCATACGATGCCAAAATTTCGCCTCTGTATGAAATTACCTACTTATACCAAGTGATCGGTATATGGTTCTTGAGCGTCGCTAATATAAACATTGACACTTTAATCAGTGCATTGATGGTGTACGTTGGAGCTCAGTGTGATATTCTCAGTCACGAATTAAGCACTCTAAAAATTGAGAACCAAAATTTTGGCGAAAAATTTATTATCTGCATTAAGCATCACCAACATTTACTTAGGTAAAGATTTTTTCGCTGACATTTAGCCGGTTTATGGTTGAATATTTTTAGTTTTGCAACGGACTGCAACAATTTCTTTAATTTTATCGTTTTGGGACAATTTTTTACAAGTGCTATATCTACCGCAGTGACTATGTTTCATTTGACTTTGGTAAGTTATAAAGTTGGGATCAAATTAGTGTTGATTTTTTTTTTTTTTGAACAAAATTAGGTGGCGCCATTCAGCAGTGAGTTTTATTCACTTTTATTTTTCGCTTCCGCTATCACTACACAACTATTTTTGTATTGTTGGTTCGGAAATGAAGTGGAGTTTAAGGTGAGAATTATAATAATAAACATTTAGAAAATGTCGTTTTTAATAACCAAAAGTTTTGAATAGTTAGAATTTTGATAATTTGTCAGTGTTATTTCTATACCTGCGAGCGCAAAGTGCGTAACTCCAAATTGTCAGTTTTCAGTGAGAGCAATTATTTGTGGCTCGTTTTACATACCAGACAAATTATTAGCTTATTCTAAGTATATAATACAAAATATTGAATATAACAAATAAAAAATTGTAAATAGCTGAATTAGACAAAAAAGCGTCAACATTTTTTTAGCAAAAAATATCCATTATCCAATTTTATGTAAAAATGGAGTTATGCACTTTGCGCTCTCAGGTACAGATTTATGTTAATGCATAAATTAAATGGAAATAAATTAACTAATTTTGTCGTCATTATGTTCATGAGTTTATTTTGTTAAAGCGAAAAAGTGAATCTAGTCTTTTTAACCATAATTCCACATCAAAGTGAAGCTATACACGTTAAAGATTAATTAAGAAATTAAAAATAGTATCCCCTAATTATTATTATTATATTAATAAATTTAAACCTAAGTCCGAAAGTATAAGATAAACTCGAGGACGACTAATTTAGCGATATTTACAAATGTGGATAACTTCAAAAAACAAGTCAAAACCGAATTAAATTAACTACATTTAACCAATCAAGGGCACATTTACGTTTGATAGTTAACTGAAATAATCTAGAAAATTTGGTTGATTTAGATTTATCATTAAGTAGTGTTGAATTTCATACTTTATTTGTATTTTGAAGCTAATAAAAATATTTGTTCTCTCATATTATTATTTTGACAATGTTTTCTTCTTTAAACACAAAAAAAATCACTTCGAAATACTTCGAATAAATAAATGGGACAACAAGAAAAAATTCTTCAGATGCACTTAAAAATATTCAGCATTTCATTTGAAGAAAGAAGTTGATAATCATTTCCGAAAAGCTTGGGTGGTACTTTAATAAGTGAGCCATTTTTATAGTAAAGGTTTCAACTGAATTCAGTAAATTTTTCTTTCATTTTATTATGCGTTTTCACGCTAATTTCTCGGCAAATTTTGATTAAAATTATGAGATGTTTTAGATGTTTACTTTTTATTCATTTTAGAAAAACTTTCTAACTGCAAATATGTCGTTACAAAAAATTTCATATATGAAATTGCCCTTGAGTTTCTATATTTTTCAATTAATGATAGGTAAAAATTAAGGACACGTATCACAAAATTTTTAAATAAAATGCAGTGATATATCAGTACATATTATATTAAATTTGTGTTAATTTGTGATTTAACCAATAGCAAAAATTGATTCATTCCTGGTTTCATTAATCATCCACGCATAATTTTTAACGAATATTTTTTTAATAAATTTTTGGCATTACGTCATTAATTTATATATAGGGGAAATAAATAAATAAATTTTAATCGTTCTGTTATTACTTTTCAATTAAATGAATATTAACATCTATTACAATTAAAAAAAATCGTTGTTTAGATTATAAAGCAGACCCTCAAATATACTTTCATATTAGATTTTAATTTGTATTTAGCACTAATGTGAAATCAAAGATAAATGAAAACGAGCGACCTACTTTTTTATATTCTAGGGGCTAGGACCTGTGGAAAAATATTTTTTTTGTCGGTCTTTTCTTGTGTTAACGAACTTTTAGCAGTAAAGTTACACATAATTATATTTTACAGCCATAAACTTCAAACAATAAATGCCTTTATATTTCACTAACTAACCTCCACTTTTCACTTTTCTTCAAATGTTTCTCTTCTTGCCTGCTTTCAAAAGCATTATTAACACAGTTTTAACTGTATCTATATACTTAATAGATATTTTAAAATTTGAAAAATTGGTAGCGTCTTTTGGAAGTTTATATTAGCATTAAAATCTGGCACCTCATGAGCATAATAAGACGAATAAGTACACAATTTGCTCTCTCAATAAGCGCGTCTAAACACAAAAGAGTGAATTCCTCTAAATTGTTTCTGTGCCATGGGAAATGCCCACGTGTCTCAACAATAATTATTTCCAAATAATTTACATAGGCAACCCTTTTTTTTTATAAAACCCATCAATTATCTTCTCATTAATTAACTCAACCGCTTATTACATTTCCGTTCAATTCTTTGTTTTCATCCAAACGTATTTTTCATGAGAAAAAGCCATTTGTGAAGCAAACAATCATTAATAATAAAAAACCGAAGTCACTGACGCACGAAAAACGTAGATACAAATCTTTAAAATCATCAATAAAGAATGAACTTCCTCTATAAATTTAAAACCTAAGTTTAACAGACATTCAGTGCGTTAGAGATTCGTAGCAGTGACTGTTCAATATTTTCGAGACACATTAACGTTATTTTGTTTGAACCAGTTCAAAATGAATAAATTTGATTGGGAAGCAGCAACAAGAATAAATACGTTGATGTTGAAATTCGTGGGATTGTGGCCAGAAGGTGATGGAACATATAACTTCAACATATACACAATATACGCTGTTATTTCCATCAACTTGTTTGTCAACGGACACACATTTTTCCAAGTGGTGAACATATTCTTTGTTTACTCGAATCTTGAGGCCCTAACAGCTACCATATTTATAACAATATCCGAAGTTTTAGTAGTCGTTAAAGTCTACAACTATCTGCAAAACTTAAAGTTATTGAAAAAACTCAAAAGTGACCTTGACAAGGACATTTTTCAACCCACAAATGAAGCCCAAATAGTGCTGATTGAACCAAATCTGAAAATGTGGAAAATGACTTATTTCGTATTTTGTATTCCTAGTACTGTAGCAGTGGCTCTATTTGCGGTTTTTCCCATCCTAGACCAAACCATAAAAGAGTACAGGTTACCATTTTCGGCGTGGTATCCATACAATACCAAAATTTCGCCGCTATATGAAATCACCTACTTGTACCAAGTTATAGTGATATTGTTCACGGCCATTGTTAATTTGAACACTGACACTTTGATCAGTGCTTTGATGATGTACGTGGCAGCTCAGTGTGATATTCTTTGCGACGAATTGAGAAATCTAACTGGAAGTGAAAATATTCACGAAAAAATTATTATATGTGTCAGACGTCATCAAGCGGTGCTTGGGTAATAATTTTGTTCCTAACACTTCTTAGAGTGAAATTACAAAACTTAAAATTTTTAGTTTCGCAGCAGGGTGTAATCAGTTTTTTGATTTTATCGTTTTGGGCCAGTTTGTTACAAGTGTTATATCGAATGCGCTAACAATGTTTCAGTTGACTGTGGTAAGTAACAGTTATAATAGATCTAGATTTTTGTTATTTTGGTTCAATATTAGGTGGAAGCGTTCAGCAGTGAGTTTTATACACTTTTCTTTTTTGCTGCGTGTATTCCTACACAATTATTTTTATATTGTTGGTTTGGAAATGAAGTGGATTTGAAGGTGAGGAATATCACAAATATATTATAAATACATTACAAAAATATTCATTACTTTATTAGATCTGGTTGTATGTTATTTAATATTTCTCAAGTTGTGACCCTTTATGGAAAACTGAATAAACTCACGTCTAAACAAACGATGATTCAAAATATGTATAAAAATAAAATATTATAAACGCACAAATTATCCATTTAAAGCACAGGTTACTCAGTGTGGCCAAATTTTCTACCTTAAAAAGCGGACTATATAAGTCCCAACATAAAGAGAAGAACAAAATTATGTAATCAACTCATTTAAGCTTATTTTCAAAACTTTCAAATAAACTAGTTATTTAGTGTCAACTTGATTTTATTAGTATACATCATTGTAATAAGTTTTGTCTGGAGACTTTATATTTTGACGTTTCCGAGTTTTTGTTCCGTTTGATGAAACGCTAAATCAAAATTTGTCTGATCGAATATCTTTGTGCGATTTTTTTACGAAAATTTGGATGTCTCGGGGAAAACCTCAAGGCGAGTTCATAGCCCACAAGTAAGTTACACGTATGTTGTTCGACAAGATTAAAATCATACTTATTATGGAAAATTTTTGAGGGACGTTATCACATTGTTATTGGAGATATTCAGACATATTTTGGTTACTATCTGGACGATATTCCTAAGACACGTACCTATATGAATTGATAACAACCGGTTCGAAAATTTCGGAGATTATCTGTCCAATAAAAATCGACACTGACGGCGGGCAGATGGTAGACGGAAAATGGCAGATACACTGACAGACAGACGGAAACGGTGGACCTATTTTTTCATAATCATGAAACGTTCAAAGAAGATGAAAGTAGTTATTCGTCGGAAAGTAAAAACGAAAACACTCATATGTTAGGTAATTTTTGTTTTATTAGTTTATACAACAACCAAATAATTAAGGTGTAGGCTAAGATTAAATCTGAAATAAATTTAAATGCGGTGCAGTTTTGAGGGATGACTTAAAATCGAAAATAGTTTGACATTTTTTCGACGAGAATCTCTATTTAAGTTACAGTTGCAATGATTTTAAACTTGTAGGTCAATAGGTAGTAAGACAAAAAAAAATATTTTAATTATTCACGACTACTTATAAGATTAAAATAAAACACTTGTGTTTTAAGATACATATTTTTATTTAATTTATTAACGTTGGAAAAGAAATTTTGTACATACCTTTCTTATGGTGGATGATTTTCACTCGCCATGACGTTGCACTGTAGTGACATCAGCTCCTGTAATTGCTAAAAACGCTTCAGATTGTGTCCAGTGTATATTTTAATTTCACGTAGTTTCAACGAGGACCTACCTTATCTACACACCTTAGACACGTCGTTGATTCCAATAGGATGGACAACGCAGTTTTTTTTCTCGCAATGAGACAAAAAATTGGCATGTGAATTTTTTAGTCTAACATATTTGCTATAAAACTCCAAAACATTCGTCTAAAAATTTTGAAATTTTTGGTACTTTTGGGTTTACGTGAAGTATTCAAGCAACCGTATCTTCTATAGCTTGCTGTGTCGCTGGTTGTGAATTTGGTTGTTTTAGAAAAACATAAGTGTATTTTAACTTGAAACTCGAAAATTTTAATTTCAAATTGAATTTCATTTTCAAATTTGTGGACGTATTTCCTGTGAAATATTCGATTACTTCTCAGAGAGAAAATTAATCTCTCATTTCTTGTATCTCAATCTAAAAAGTAACATTTAGTGTGAAACGTGCTAATATCTTGTGATTTCCTCCATTTTTCTCTAGTTGACCATGATCCGCACGTTAGCGGTGCACTTAAAACATCTGAAGTATGTGTCATGGCAACCCAGAGTAGAAATTTAAAAATCACCCTACATTTTGACAGAAATATCCTGGTATGATTTTTTCATTATTTTCGGTTGTACGCCACTGTCTCCTACGATCTCCAAATTGAAGAAATTCTTCAGCATAAAACTGCAGCTTCTTTTCTTTCAAAACACAAACAATTTTTACTTCTTTTGAGTCATGTCAACACATTTAAATAGTTTATACGTGAATAAGTTTTAATAAGAGATAGTTTTTATTATTTTTGTTTTGTCTTAAAGCAATATTTAATTCTTGTATTGTTACAATTGTGTTAGGAACACTTGAGAATTAATTTTCACTTTAAATATTCAACAATTACTTCGGTGCTTTCACACCATTTTATCTCGAAGCGCTGAGAATTAAAACTGAGTCAACAAATTACGTAAATGAGATGTTAGTGTGGCGACCTATGCATTTTGTTGTGTTTGTTATATTTCACTAACTAACCTCCACTTTTCACTTTTTTTCAACTGTTTCTCTTCTTGCCTGCTTTCAAAAACATATTATTAACTGTATCTACATCATAGATATTTTCAAACCTGAAAAATTTGTAGTGTTTTTTGGAAATTTACATTGCAATCAAAATCTGGCACTCCATAATAAGATTAATAAGTACACACACAATTTGCTCAGTCAATAAGGGCGACTAACCACAAAAGAATGATTTCCTCTGAATTGTTTCTCTCTGCCATGAAAAATTACCACGTGTCTCAACAATAATTGTTTCTAAATATTTTACTTAGACAACCCTTTCTTTTATAAAACCCATCAATTATCTTGTCATTAATTAACCCAACCGCTTATTACATTTATTTCTTTCAATTCTCTGTATTCATCCAAACGTATTTTTCATGAGAAAAAGCCATTTGTGAAGCAACAATCATTAATAATAAAAAACTGAAGTGATTGACGCACGAAAAACGTAGATACAATTCTTTGGGATCATCAATAAACAATGAACTCCTCTAATATTTTTAAACGAAAAATTTAAGACACTCAGTACGTTAGAGATTCGTAATAGTGACTGTTCAGTATTTGCAAGACATCATAGCTTAAGCTAGTTCAAAATGAATAAATTTGATTGGGAAGCAGCAACAAGAATAAATACGTTGATGTTGAAATTCGTGGGATTGTGGCCAGAAGGTGATGGAACATATAACCTCAACATATACACAATATACGCTGTTATTTCCATCAACTTGTTAGTCAACGGACACACGTTTTTTCAAGTGATGAACATATTCTTTGTTTTCTCGAATCTTCAGGCCTTAACCGCCACCATATTTATAACGGCATCGGAAGTTTTAGTATCCGTCAAAGTCTACAAGTATGTGCAGAACTTAAAATTATTGAAAAAACTCAAAAACGACTTGGAGAAGGACATTTTTCAACCCACAAATGAAGGCCAAATATTGCTGATTGAACCGCATCTGAAAATGTGGAAAGTGGCTTATTTCGTATTTTGTATACCTAGTACTGCAGTAGTGGCTCTATTTGCTGCTTTTCCCATCTTAGACCAAAGGATAAAAGAGTACAGGCTACCATTTTCGGCATGGTACCCATACAATACCAAAATTTCGCCTCTGTATGAACTCACTTACTTGTACCAAGTCATAGCCATATTGTTCATGGCTACTGTTAATGTGAACACTGACATTTTGATCAGTGCTTTGATGATGTACGTGGCCGCTCAGTGTGATATACTTTGCGACGAATTAAGAAACTTAAATGCAAGTGAAAATATTCACGAAAAAATTATTATTTGTGTGAGACGGCATCAGGCGCTGCTTGGGTAATAATTTTGTTGCTATCACCTCCTGAGTGATATTTGAAATTTTTAGTTTCGCAGCAGGGTGTAACCAGTTTTTCGATTTTATCGTTTTGGGCCAGTTTATTACAAGTGTTATATCGAATGCGCTAACGATGTTCCAGTTGACTGTGGTAAGTTACAGTTACAATAACTTTAGATTTTTGATATTTTGTTCAATATTAGGTGGAGCCGTTTAGCAGTGAGTTTTATACACTTTTCTTTTTTGCTGTGGGTGTTCCTACACAACTATTTTTATATTGTTGGTTTGGAAATGAAGTGGATTTGAAGGTGAGGAATCTCATCAATATCTAGAAAATGTTTTATAAATCAAATATTATACATATATACTCAAAATTTTTCATTCTTTTTTTGGTCTAGTTGTTAAACTGTATCTTATTTAATTTTTCTCAAGTTGTGGCTCCTTATGGAAAACTGAATACACTTACGTTTAAACAAACGATGATTTAAAAATATATAAAGTGTGGCGAAAGTTTCTAGCTAAAAAAGTGGACTACATAAATCCCAATATAAAGAGGACAAAATTATGTTATCAACTCATTTGAGATTATTTTTAAAACTTTCAGATAAACCTGTTTACTGTTAAATCGATTAGTTTACATCATTGTAATAATTGCTACACAATTTCGATTTTTTTGCGAAAATTTGGACGTCTCGGCGAAAACCTCAAGGCGAATTCATAGCTCACAAGTACGTTAAAAATATAAAATTCTATAAAATTTAAATCATATTTACTATGTAAAATTTTTGGGGGACGTTATTATATTGTTGGTGGGGATATTTAGACACATTTAGGTTACCATATTTCTACCACACGTATAAGAATTCATAACAAACGGTTTCGTAATTTCGGAGATTATGTGTCCAATTAAAACGACACTGACGCCGGGCAAATGGAACGCGGAAAACGGCAGATACACTGACAGACGAAAATGGTGGCTCTATTTTTTCATAATTATGAAAAGTTGAAAGAACATGAAAGTAGTTATTCGTCG